TGATTAATTGTCCTCACTGTTAGGAAATTTCTCCTTAATTCCAGATTGCTTCTCTCTTTGATTAATTTCCAACCATTGTTTCTTGTCCTGCTCTCCGGTGCTTTGGAGAATAATTTAACCCCCTCTTCTTTGTGGCAGCCCCTCAAATACTGGAATACTGCAATCATGTCACCCCTATTTCTTCTTTTCTTTAGACTAGCCAAACCCAAGTCCTGCAGGCATTCTTCATATGTTTTAGTCTCCAGGCCTTTGATCATCTTAGTTGCTCTTCTCTGAACTTTTCCAAAGTCTCAACATCTTTTTTGTAATATGATGACCAAAATTGGTTGCAGTATTCAGGGTGCGGTCTTACTAGGGTTTTATAAAGTGGTACTAATACTTTACATGCTCTTGATTCTATGCCTCTGTTTATAGAACCAAGGTTTGTATTAGTTTTTTTGGCTGCTGGTGCACATTGCTGACTCATATTCAAGTGATCATCCACTAGGACTCCTAGGTCCCTCTCACAGTTACTATTTTTGAGCCAGGACTCACCTAATCTGTACTTATACCTTTGATTTTTCCTGCCTGAATGTAAAACTTTGCTTTTCTCCCCATTAAAATTCATTTTGTTGGATAGGGCCTATTGTTCAAGTTTGTCTTTTTGGATCCTGAGCTTGTCTTCTGGGGTGTTGGCTATTGCTGTCAGTTTAGTGTCATCTGCAAATTTGATGAGTTCCCCTTCTATTCCCTCATCTAAGTCATTTATAATAAAAACAGTAAAAATTACAGGTACATGAAACCTCTTGTAGGCAGAAACAGATGAAAACCAGTAACACTGGTCTAGAAGGCAAAAGCCTCGGAAATGAAAGTAAATTTTACCAGAATTGGGTCACTAATGAGGAAAAATTAAGTCCTGAGTATTAATTGGCTCCAGTTTCCAAGATACAGCTTCAGGACAAAATTGCATCAAAATAATTCAAAATTATGAGGGGTGTGTGTGATTATGCTCCATAACTTTTCTGCAAAATGTGATATAGCAACGAGAATGGTGCCACGCCAATCTTTATAAATTTATCTTTTTATTGATACCAATAACATAACTTTCCATTCATTTATTGGTTTTTCATGTAACATTTTCACGCTGTTTGCATGAAAAACTGACAAGCTCTAAAGGTTCTATATTTATTCAGTTTCTAAACTGCATGTTTTGGCTTTTCTCTTGTGAACTGCAGTAGGATCATCCCTAGAGAAATCCCAGCAGTAATCAGCAAGCATTGACGGACTCCATTTCCCTTGTTATCTTTTCTCCATGCCTGCAATACCCTGGTGCAATTTCTTCCCATGCTCATCACTCACTGCCCCACAGTTCAAAAGGAAATAGTCTAAATGCATATGTAAGAAGTGAATTTTCAGTGACATATTTGCACCAAATGCTTTATAGGACCTAAGCAAATTTTTCACGTGTTTCCATAGACATCTGCCTTGCTATTCCAGAGAAATTCCATTGCCACAGACTTAAAGGCTTCCCCCCATGCCTTCTTTTCCTTGCCGCGCAACAATCAGACTTGCCATCTCAGATACGTTCTCAAATCTGTGGACCGACAAAGACACCGTCATTGATTTTGGCTTCACTAAGTCTTGGAAACTTTTCATAGAGATATTGGACACCTGGTTTTGTTTTGTCCATAGTCTTTACAAAGTTCTTCATCAGCCCCAGCCCCAACAGTGGTAATAAAATTTTCTGAGCGTCAACAAGAGCTGGATTTTGAACATTTTTCTTTCCTGGCTCCCAGGACTGTCGTGATGGCCAGTCTTTCTTGACATAATGAGAATCTCTGGCTTGATTGTCCCATTCACACAGGAAACAGCAGTACTTCGCCTATCTAAAACTTCAGCCAACCAGCACCTTTTATCACCTATTTTTTCATTCCTCTAATCAAAATATGTAAGAATTAATACATTTTATCTTGGAGGTCGATAATTTCCCCAAATTTGTAGACCAGTGTAATCTAAGCAAATGTAAAAGAATCAAGAACAGACAGCAAAATAGGATCCAGCACTTCCTATTGTCACTCTAGGTTCATTCCACTTCCGAAAATTATTGAATACGCTGCTTCGTTATGTCAAAGCAAAACTAACTCTGAGGTCCCAACACCAATTCATAGAGTTAAACAATAATTTTCCCAGCCAAACGCCCAACTTCTTATGTAATCCACATCAACAAATTCACCCTCTCCTTCAAATCCACACCTGTTCTGGTGTTCTTGACAAGACTTCAAGGTCTCACTGTCTTCAGCTGAACTGAAGATTCATTTCTCCATCTACCCACTTGAAAGTAACATCTCCCCAACTTAAACTAAAGGCAAATTGAAATGCAGAGGCACGTAACTGCCGAAGTTTCATCCTTGACATCTACGTTCATAAGAAACCTGTGTGAGACCCGGCAAGCAGTCTAGAAGGTGCCAGTCAGCATTACATGGAAAGATGCCTCTGCAGAAGCCAGTACCTGGATTTTCCCGCAGACAAAGTCACCACCTGGACAATGCCCAGGAATCCAGATATTGAGAAGGCTGTTTCACAGCAGCCTAAGGCAGCTTGGCAAATCCCAGCTTTGGACCCACATCAGCAGTCACACTGTTGATGAAGCACTGTATGCTAGATTGCACCTATGCAAAAAATGTGGCAAGACAGTCTCAGGGTAACTGTGAGAATTATGGGATTCTCACACAGGGCTGTGTGCTCTCTCCACTACTCTTTTCTTTCTATAGTAACGACTGCATCTCAAAGGATCCCTCTGTTAAAGTACTGAAGTTTGCAGATGATACAACAGTGATTGGTCTCATTCGAGACAATGACAAATCTGCATATAGACAGAAAGTTGAACTGGCCCTGTGTTGCAGCCAGAACAATCTTGAACTGAACACACTCAAAATTGTAGAGATCATAGTAGACTTGAGAAGACCTCCTATTCTACCATCTCTTAGAATACTAGACAATACAGTATCAACAGTAGAGGCCTTCAAGTTTCAAGGTTGTATAATATCTCAAGACTTAAAATGGATACCTAACATCAAAAATGTCATCAAAAAAGCACAACAAAGAAAGTTCTTCCTGCACCAACTCAGAAAGCTCAAGACTGCCCAAAGAGGTGCTGATACAGTTCTACAGAGGAATTACTGAATCTGTCATTTGCACCTCTATAACTGTCTGGTTTGGCACAGCAACCAAACAAGACAGACAAAGACTTCAATAGTTAGGTGACTGCAGAAAATACAATTGCAACCAGCCTGCCTTCTACTGAAGACCTGTGTACTGAACGAGCTAGAGAGAGCTGTGAAAATATCTACAGACCCATCACATCCTGGACACAAACTGTTTCAACTTCTTCCCTCAAGACGCTACAGGGCATTGCATGTCAAAACAACCAGACACAAAGACGGTTTTCCCCCCATGCTATCACTCTGCTAAACTAATTCCCACAACACTATCTTATGCCCTGGGATGTCAAACCACCTAGTAGGGCTGTATTACTATTATCCTTCTCATATTTCCTATTACCTATTTCCTTAGCTTCATATGACTATAACTTTGATGTTTATATTTTATTTGATTGCTTCTATTTAGTATCTTTGTATCTTGGATTTTTTTGTATCTTACGGATTATTTCTATTTGGTATCCTATTATGGTTTATTTTGATTGCTAGCGTCCTATGATTATCACTGACTGCTGTATGATTTATGATGATTGTATTTATGATTATGATCATGATTTATCCCTTGTTGCTTGTATGTACACTGAGAGCTTATGCACTGGAGACAAATTCCTTGTGTCCAATCACACTTAGCCAATAAAGAATTCTATTCTATTTCTATTCCTATTCCGAAGGAAGATCTCACTAGTATTCTTCTGAAAAACCGTGTGGAAACCTGTTTACCCATTATAGGAGCTATTTTAGAAACAGGCCACCCTCTCCCAAATGACAACTATTTTATCAATATCTGTAGTATAATTATTTGGGCTACCTAAAATGCTATCATATTATCTTAATTATTATTCAGAAAATTTACCTGCTTAGTCTTAACTTTCTGGATCTGCATAACTGTTCTGAGGGATAAACAATTATAATAGAAGTCAATGTTTTCAGCCTTCAGTTTCTTGATCTCTTTATTTGTATTTGTGGTTAACACTTTCCAGCATTATTCTAAGACATTGGGTAACCTACTTATCCATGGTTAAGGTTATACTGTAATTTATTTAGTTTAGAGTCCCATAATATACTGAAGCATACATTAACTACAAGAATTGGCGTCAGTCAGATTCGTAAGATAAAACAACTTTAGCAAATGCTTTGTTCCAGATGCTTACAGAACAGGATTTGCAAGATCAGAAAAAGCACTTAAAATAAAATCGGGAAAGAAATCTGTGCTGCATTGCTATAAACAGGTGGAATCCTTCTTTGGGGTGCATTATTTGCTAGATAAACAAGAAAATGCAGTGAATGAATGCCACTGACCAACCTCAGAGAGACACTTGGAAGTTATGTAAGTTGGCTTCGAGGTTCAAAACATTTTTAATTTTATTTTTTGTACGCAGAACTTTTAGAGAGATCCCCTCCAGATGGTTAAGCAGCGGACACCGAGAGTCCAAAAACGAAAAGGAAGGACAAAAGCAGTTCCGCTCCTGGACAAAATGGCCGCGGGAGCATTCGTCTTCTCCTCCCCTTCGCGCCATATCCGGGGGAGGGGGGAATGCGACCGGAAGTGGGTCGCGTTTCCAAGATGGCGACTCCCTATGTTACTGATGAAACCGGTGAGTGGGGGAGCTGCGGTTGGCATGTGGGGGACATAATTTCGAGTGCCAAACTTTTTCTTCCCCTGACTCCCTCCAATTCGGCCACCCGCCTCCCCTTCGCGCCCGGCCGCTCCATCCTCGGTTCTTTCCGAAGCGAGGTTCCTCCCCATCTCCATCCTCGCTTGTCCGTCCCGCTTTTACGCCACGCCCCCTCCTCGAGGGCGTCCCTCCCTTCTCTCTGGACTGCCTGTTCTCCTTGCCGCTGGGCCCCGCCCCTTTCCGGACTCGCCTTCTCGCGCCACGCCCCTTGCAGCAAGGCAGCTCTTCGTGTCCGCGGGAAGTGAACCCCATGGCAGGTGCGAGGCACGCAGGTTTCCCCTTCTTCGCTTTCCCACGTGCGTGATAGCAGAGAGCAGCCCCTACGGGGTTTCATGTGCCAGGAATTGTGGGACTGTTACCTCGGAGGGCGTCTAATTCTAAATAAAGTTTTTAGGCTAGGAGTATGACTTCATTGTATATGCATACATGTACCCAACGAAGCTTTTGTAGAAGTACTGGGCCAATTCCCATCCATCCTCAATCAGTTTAGAAAAGCTAAGGGCTGCAGTCCAATATATCCGAATAAATCAGGTTTAGGGGGAAATGGTATCTAAATCAAACGCGTATCTAATTAGCGGTATCTAAAAATGGTATCTAAATAAAATTAGTCAAGTTTAGGGGATTTAGGTGTCTAAATCGAATTATATCAGTGATGGGAACCAACAACGTGACCTGTACAAATACGGATCCATAATCTATTTTTATTTCTTCCCCATGTTTTCTCATAATGAAGTTGCCTGATAAAAGAAGCATTTGTTGGTTAAAAGATTTCAATGATTTTTAAAAACTTCAATTAGCCTAATAATAATTCCTAATAAAATAATACAGTAAAATTTCTAAGGAAGTCCTTTCACTAATTTTGCTTTTTTCCCCCCATAGGTTGAGCATCTACAATTCTGTATGCATAGCTTAAACATGCCAAATATCTAATTTGGGTCTTAAGCTCACTGTTCTCTCTTTAAGTGAATTTTCATCCATTTTTGGATTGCAGATGTTATTGGTTTCTTCCCCTGTAACCTGTGTCTTTAAATAACTAATAGTTGTGTAGAATTTTTGAAGTGATTAAAATTTCTGGATTTTTGTCCCCTTGACCAATCAAGCTTCAGGGTAATCCTAGACTTTTTGGTCAAAACCATATATAATAGAAGAGTCTCTTTAATACTGCGTTTTCAATATAAAAACTTTGTTTATGATTTTTTTTCTTCAGAATAGTCTTATGTGATGGATTAAATTAAGAGAGAAATTGACCAAAGTCACAATGTGAGCTTTGTGTCTGAACTAGAGATTTGAATTCAAGACTCCTTCATAAATTATTGCAGTTGGTTTAAGGAAGCAGTGTAGCCTTACTGCCTCTGAAAATATTAGTGATTTTTGTATGTATCTGTTATCTTTATGATAGTTTTAATTTGTCATGCGTGTTATGCATTAATTGTCTTGCATATGATCATATGCTGCACATCTGCCATTGTATCTTTTCTTATGAGAATTCTGGGCTAACTTACAGGATCACTGACAGGAACATTTTGGAAGTATTAAGTGTTGCCCTGTGAAAAAAAAATCCATCATTACTTCTGAAGAACTGCAGAGGCATTTTGCTTTCATTTCCTTATATCTCTTTCTTTCATATAAAAATATAAAAAAATCTCTTTTGTGTTAGTTCCTCAATTCCTCACAACATCATGGACACCCCAAAAGTACCAAAGTGGTTTGCCATTATTTTTTGCTAAAAACGGGTTTTTTTACCTCTTTGTCTAATCCAAAGCCTTAGTATTTCTTGGTGGTCAGTGGTTTCCGTTCCAGACACTAACCAGAGTCAACTCATTCCTACTGGTGCAACCCGACCTTCCTCATTCATCAGCAGGAAGATTCAAATCCAAGAAGTCCCCACTGGCACTTGCACAACATCTGCCCAACAATTTTGACACCAATTCCCAAAGGAAAAGCTGAGCGCCTAGATGTAGGAAGACATACAAATGACCTCACAGGAAAGGTTGCAAGGCTTTGTACTACCACACCAGCAATGGACAATCCTGAATAGGATTCACATTTCACATAGTGACAGCCGGGACTCATTGTATAAAATGGGGCATAGGATCCTCCCCTCAATTTGACTGGAATCCCACATCAAACTGTAGATCATGTCGTGACTGGCTGTAAGTTGAGGGCATATACCGGTCCAGTATCTGGATTTTTTTTTTTTCAAGCAATTCTGCCTTTCGATGGTTAAACGGACTATTAGTATTTGAACATAGATCTTTTAAACATATTTTATTGTATTTTACTAATTTAGATAAAATATTAATATATATTGCTAGTCCATTTGTGACATGTCGTACGCTAAATAAATAAACTAACCAAGGTTATATTTTTATGATTAGTTGAGTTTGGGTTCTTGTGGAATTTGAATGGCTGGCTGGGTTTGTGCACATCTTTTTTCTGTTTTGCAGAGGAATTTTTTGCAATTCTTTTAAAACACTTGAAATTGCTAATGATCACTCAGGAAAATATGATTGATTGATTGATTGACTGACTGATTGATAGCAGTTTCCTTCACAAACTAAAATAACCAATCCATATTTCAGGAAAATACATTGCATCCACACAGCGTCCAGATGGTACCTGGAGAAAACAAAGACGGGTGAAAGAAGGCTATGTTCCCCAAGAAGAAGTGCCAGTGTAAGTCTGATCCTCGCCGTGGTCCTCTTGTGAATATGTACAAAGAAGTAGCCACACAAGCAAAAATAAAAACTCTTGTAACAACTTAGGTCAGGGGTAGGCAACCTTGGTTCTTTTATGACTCGTGGACTTCAACTCCCAGAATTCCTGAGCCAGCCACGCTGAGGGGAAAGGGAGTTTTCCAAGCTGAACCATGGTGGCTCAGGAATTCTGGGAGTTGAAGTCCACGAGTCATAAAAGAGCCAAGATTGCCTACCCCTGACTTAGGCTAATGTAAGCAAGATTGCCCTAGATCACAGGCTACCTTATCTGATGCATGCAATGTTATTTTTGTATAGTCTTTTTCCTCCTCTTGTATTAGTTGTGTATATGTGATGCTCCCTGCATTTGCTGAAGCAGACTGTAGTTCATGAAAACTCATTTGTTTAGAAATTATATTAGTCTTTAAGGGGGCACAAGACTGGCTTCTTGGGGTAGGAGGGCAAGAAAGCAAAAAACAGGGCTATGACATTGCCAGGGGACACACACACACACACACAGACCCCTTCCATCACTTTCTTCAGTTTTTGGAACGATATCCTTGAAAAAAACAGTTTTCATTAGTGATGTGGCCAAGATCTGAAGGAACTTGGTCTGCTTTTGATAGGAAAAGCTCGGAATTCTCACTAAACATTTAATGCTTTTAGATATTTTTACTTTTAAGATCCCAGCTACTGACTGGCTCAGGAATTCTGGGAGTTGAAATCCACAGTTCATAAAGGAGTCATAGTTCTCCACCCTTGCTTTAGAACTAGGCAGGACTATGACTTCAATGTGAATAGAAAACCAAGCTCACATTGCATTGTATAGTTACAGTACAGTAGGATTTTTGAGTAGTTCTAAACAGTTCACAACGCTTCTCCCAGGATTGTAACAGTAATAACGATTTTTATAGCTTGGAGGGCACCAGCCTGGGAAGGCTTCTTCAGAATGGCATAAAGAGTGTCCTATAGGAATGTCCGTTGATCAGTCAGCAGCAAGAAAGATTCAGTGCTTGGCTAAAGTATTTTCATTTATTTGTAATCTGAAGCTGCAGGAAGCAAGAAACCATAGGGCATTGGGACATTTTGTGGAACTATGTTAAAGGCAAATTTAAAGGCAAAAAAGGAAGTCAGAGGGTCTGGGATGCTGATGCAGCATCTGTCTACAACTCCTTAAAGTAGCTGCCATTTTTCCCAGGTTTGGATAATGGTCCTTTGCAATTGTAGCATGATCCCAGAAAAAAAAAATTTATTTAAGGAGCTCAAGACAGGTGCTTTGTACATTTCCCCTGCATGCATTTCAGCACCTTTCTGCCTTTGAATGGGAATACTGCATAGCCATTGTCTTTTTAGATCAGAAGTGATTGTCCCAAGTTTCAGTGTTCATCTAGGAGGCATAAAGCACATAAAGATTGCTTACATTGGATGGAAAGATACAGTCTACTCTGAAAAATGACTGAAAATTTGCTGTGACTACCTGACCCAAGCCACACTCTTTGATATTTAATATACAATCTTAGTCTTTAGTGCTCTCTGAGCTTGGTGGTTTCCTTGCAGACATTTCATTACCAAACTAGGTAACCATCAATGCTAGAATTCTTCTTATCAGAGTCACTCCTCTCAATCCAACTCATTTTATAGAAGCTTTGTATGTGGATAAAGTGAAGATAACCTTCTGGTTTGTACTGCCTTGAACTTCCGAAGGAAACATGGTCTGTCTTTACACCACATCCTCTTTTATTTCACGTAGGTATGAGAATAAATATGTGAAGTTCTTTAAAAGCAAGCCAGAATTACCTCCAGGCTTGAATCCAGAAGTTCACACACCTGTGGCCCGGCAAACGTCAAAGGGACCTGAGGGTGGCGAGACGGGGCTGTCCAAGACCGCTAAGAGGAATCTCAAACGGAAGGAGAAGAGAAAACAGCAACAGGAAAAAGGGGATCAAGATGCTGATAACCTGATTCAGTCTCTAGAGAAAACAACCTTGTCAGCGACACCAAGCAGCTGTGGGGATGGTAAGCTGGCTGTGTCTGATGCCAACCCAAGAGCCTCTGCTGGCAGCAGGGATGTGTCCGCCACTGCCACCTTAGAGAAGAACAAGAAAATTAAAAATCTGAAAAAGAAACTACGGCAGGTGGAGGAGCTGCAGGCGCGGATTGACTCTGGGGAGATCAAGCAGCCGACCAAAGAGCAGTTAGACAAGCTGGCTCGACGGAAAGCTTTGGAAGAGGAACTTGAGGACCTGGAACTGGATTTGTAAAGGGTTGGAATATCAACTGGACCTACTGTAGTGTGTGTAGGAACAAACCGTCCCCGGGGAAACATTCTCAGAACGGTGCAACAAAAAGACCAGAAGATAGTGATGTCTTCAGCCGTCCCCTTTGTATCATTATTTTATTTTATGTTGATGCTGTCTGAATTTTTAAAAGTATTTCTCCCAGCTGTTGATGTGTTAGCTATCTAGGACCTCTTTAAGGACAACAGCTTTGCCACCTAGTTCTTTCTAGTTTCTTCCTCCCCTTCCCACCTCCATTCCTGTTTCAGGTAGGTGACTGAAATGTTATTTGGCACAGAGGGGCTGACTTTCAGAGGCACCTGAGCAGGGGGAGCAGTCTGTCTTCCTGTCACTGTATTATATTCAACATTTTCACGTTCTCTGTAACAGTCACACGGCCTTCCATCTTCTCTTCCTCCTCATTTTGGAAAAGGGATGCAATAATAAAAATTGCAGTAGTGACTTCTGACTCTAGGACATCTGTGTTTTCCCCCCAATACACATTTTTTTAAAAAAGTCTTCTGTATGATATTAGAAATTTTATAGGCTTCCCTTTCTTTGGCTGATGGACGCAGGCAGTGTCAAAAGTGGTTTGTGATAGATGTGAAAAAGGCAAAAGGGAGAGTAACTCAGTGATGGAGAATATGTTTTATACGCAGATGTTTTGAAGTCTGATCCCAATTGTCTTCAGATTGGAAAAAAATCTTGAAGCCTTGGGGGGCCACTATCAATCAATCTTAACAATGTTGATCTCACTGTGTTCTGGTTTAGCTAAGGCAGCTTCCAGGCTGGGGTTGCATAACATGCCACCTGAGGCTAAAATGGAATGATTTGTAATGCAGCTTGTTCCGAACCTAGACCTTGTCTTACGTTGTGTGATCCAGACTATCAAATTTAAGTAGCCCAATTTATTTCCTTAGTTATATCTGGACAGCAAATCTGCTTGACTGCCAAGTGGCAGTAAAAGATTAATCTAATCGTTGCCCTCTAATCGTTTTCCAGAGTTTTCGCATCCCAGATAAAGTCTCCCTGGACATAGCAATTGTCTTTGGTTAACTAAGAGCTGGATGTTTTGTGTGAATCTGGTCCCCCTGTTTCATGTAAGGGATTATTAGAAATAGAATCAATAATAAATATATGGATATGATGTGATCATCCTCGGTGTAGTGGCCACAGTTCTTATCACTTTCATATAACAGGAAATTTAAATTTGGGGAAAAGTGAAAAGAAAGGCAAAATAAACAGAGGTATCTTCAATTTGAATAAAAGTCCAAGAGTTTCTTAGCCAAGATAACTAAATTTTCTCTCTCTCCCTCTCCTCTCTCTCTCATTTCTGTATTAGAACAGTGTTCAGCTTAAGACCAATTCTGAGAATGGGTTCATTTAAAACATAGTGAGGACCAAATTTTAAGGGAGGAAATGACCAATCCTGGGGTGATCAGAAGCTACACTTAACTTTTGGAGTGATAGCAATAAAGTCTACAAAGAAAAGAGCAGTTGTGTAGAATATGAATAACTGTTGTAGACATGGCCAGGACAAAAAAAAAATCTGTTTCTTTCTTTTTTCCTTGTGAGATGTTCTTTGGTGCTGAAACTATGTTATTTATTTATGTATTGATTAATATCATGCCTTTCACCCAACAACTCAAGGTGACACACAACACTCCCTCTTTCTAGTTTTCCTCACAGATGCCATTGTGGCTTAAACTGCCATTTTTTATATACCACCTTTCGTGGCAGGAAGCTCAAACTGAGTAACTTAGTTGGAAGATTTTTTTTTTAAAAAAAATGTGTGGTTTTATACACACAGAGAGACAAAGGGTTGAGGCTTCAGAGGACCCTACAGTATGTGGTATCTTCCTGGTTTTGGAAAAGAAACTGCAGCTTAATCATATTATGTCTAGATATGCTAATATGCTAAATATATTTTCATCAATGTCAGAGATCAGAGAAACTTTCGTGTGTCCAGCTGAAATGTCTATTCAGTGTGAGAAAACAAAATTTAATTTCATACTTCTAATTTAAATTGAGAGATATTTTTCTTTCTGTCCCTTAACTATGCCTAGCATGTTGGGCTGAGCAAAGTGCAATCTCTGACTCAGTCTCTGAGCAAGAATTGAGGCTTTCCAGGTACCACTGGGTTACACTGAAATTGCCAAAGGCAGAAGATGGGAAAGGAGCAAAGGAATTAAAAAAACTTAGGCTAAAGTTTCAGCCATGAAATCAGCGCTGTAGTTCAAAGTTAGTGTCAAGAAATAGTGTGTACACTGAATGCCTTTTGTTAGTGGAAGGTAACATTGGTGTCAGATTGCACCTCCTGTTCAGGAAGGGGGGGAGCAGCAGCTGCTCCTACAATTGTGTGAAAACAAAGGATATTAACATTGGCCAATGCTGGATTAGGGGTTTTGTTACTTTTGTCCAGCAGGTGGTGCTAAAAGGGCAATTTTGTATGCTTAGCTACTTCATATACAGTACATATACATACATACATACATACATACATACATACATACATACATATAATTTTGTTCTTGAAGCCACGACTTCACACACATGCTAATATGCCTTTAGATCAGGGGCATCCAAGCTTTGCAACTTTCAGACCTGGCTGGCTGGGGAATCCTGGGAGTTGAAGTCCAAGGATCTGAAAGTTGCAAAGCTTGGATACCTCTGCTTTAGATGGACTAGCAAAAACACATCCCCCAGGGTAGTATGCGCGTGCACACACACACACACACACACACACACACACAACCCCTATATTGAAATATTTATAGGTCCCTTTTTAGGCCAACATGCCTGGCTAAGGCATTCATATATAACTAACCCAGATCCCATCCCAGACTGATTTTCTCATATTCCTCTAATCCAGGGGTGTCAAACTCACAACATCACATGATGTGTCATGACATATCGCGACTTTTTTGCCATTGCTGGCAATGGGGTGGGCGCAGTTTCGCCATGACACATCTGCCCCCCGGGCTGGCAGTTTGACACCCCTGCTCTAATCCTTAGATGCAGGTCACTGAGCTCATGGCTGAGAGTAAAAGAATAACTGCATCACTTGGAAAACTAATTTTGCTTTCCAGGGAGCTACTCATTGGACAAATGAGGACTCAGGATAGTACTGCCTCTACTAGGATGTGGTCCTGCCTCTACTAGGGAGGATGTGAGGAACAGGACCCCTTCTAGCAAGCATGGGTTCCAACTATCATCCAACTATTGTAGCCAATAGTCAGGAACATCACTTCTTGTGGTGAAAATGAAATGGAGAAAACCACATGGTTCCCAAATATCCTTTATCTGCTGTTTACCCAGCTGTCTTTTTGTTTTACACAGAAAGATTAAAGGATCACCTGGACAAGCTTAGGGAGACATCAAAAACACAGCTGCTGCTGTTGTTACCCTCCCATTGTTTCCCTCACGACAAGGTTTGTACCTTTCTCTAATTTGTACTACGGTAGGAGCAGAAGGTGGCTGATAGGTTTGGTGAAATGCATGTTAATGAAAACTGTAGTCCCTCCTAGACGAATTGTCCAGGAATCGTCCTGGTGATTATTCTTCCAATTCTGTGATCTATTTTCCTTGGTCTCTGATGAACTCTATTTTCCTTTACCTCGACTGTGCTCCTTGCTAAGTAATTTTAAACATAGGGTAACTTTTGAATGTTCCCCTTGTGGTTTTTAACCTTTCTTTCAAGAAGCTCACTATCCTTTTGACTTGGAGTCCTTTGTGGCAGGGGGGTGGGTGAGTCAAAATTCTGTAACTCAAAAGCACAAGTTGACAGGCTTACAGATTCTGGTTGAAAAAATAAAGTCAAGTCTTGCAACCTGAAGAAGTTTACTTTTACGTGTTGGGTATTTATTCAATTTTCAATTCAATTATAACTAGAAAGGAGAATATTTCTAGCTCAAGGTCAAAATGAGGGTTCCTTGGTGCTCTCTGAATTTGGTTGTTTTCTTGCAGAGGTTTCATTACCCAAATTAGGTAACATCATCATGATGTTATCTAGCTTCGGTAATGAGCTGTCTGCAAGAAAACAAGCAAGCTCGGAGACAACCAAAGAACCCCTAATCATAACCATATTGTATTCAGAGGCTCATCTAATATGTATATAAGCATGGTGCTAAATCAACAAATGCTACAAGTCTGGTCCCCATTCTGTTCGCAAATGCAGTATAGTTCAGTGGTTAGCAGGCCAGATCTAGGGTCCAAGTTTCTGTTCAGTCATGAAACAGTTTTGATCATCAGTTGCTACTTTTTGTCTAAAAAAGGTGGCTACGAGAACTAAAAACATAAGTTTGGTAAGAATACATATCTGAATAATATATTGTCATGCTATTTCCTTAATTTTAATATTAAGATCTGTAGCTGAGTAAGTCTTGTGTTGCATGGAGATGATGAAAGCTTATAACAACACAAACACAAAATGCTAAGTTGGTCGATTTTATTTTAGTTTCAGCTACGTAAAGGGTTAACTGAACACATTTCTTTGAGGAAGTGCCAACCCAGCTTTGCAATGATATTGTCTTCACTCTTATGACACAGTCAACTCATCTGATATCAAGTGGCTAACATGAAAGGATCTTGTTGACTTTCTGTGGTGTGACAATTCCTGGATTGACAGGAGAATTCCCAGCCAGAAGGCTACCAGCAGATAGAGCAGAGGTCCCCAACCTTTTGGATACCAGGGACCGGTTCCATGGAGAGAGGTTTTTCCGTGGACCATAGGGAACGTGGTTTTGTGTGCTGCCTACATCCCACGGATGGAGCTTTGCTTGTTTGTGCAGACCAGTTGCTGGCATGTTGTGGCCCGGTACAGGTCCACGGCCCGGGAGTTGGGGACCCTGTTGTAGAGAAAGTTGTCCTTATCCAAGGAGTTTAATTCCTCTGAACCCCATTATTTCTATCAATCAAAAATATCAAAGATTGTTATAACCTGCCACTTTCTCTAATAGAGTACAGATAGTCCTTGACTTACGACTGTAGCTGAGCCTAAGTTTTCCATTGCTAAGCAGGACAGTTGTTAGAATTTTGCCTCGTTTTATGACCTTTCTTGCCCCAGTTGTTAAACACTCTGGGAATTTATTCTCATCTTTTGTCCACGCCTCATGTTTTTCATTGCTGAGTTTGAAGGAATCAAATGCAGAGAAATACTGTATATCTGTTGCATGCGAATGAACATTGCATTGATTTTAAATCTCATAGTAGAGCACTGTGCAGTTCATTTGATTTTGGTTTAGCATATTGTCTGGACATGCTAAATCAATTTGTGACATTTAATAAATCAGGATGCAACAAACCATGCATAATGTATAAACATAATGTATAAACCCCAGGAAATCCCAGCTAAGCCTTTAGAATACAACTTGGAAATGATACTATGTTCTATTATATTATAATTATATCATAGAATAATATTATACTATTATGTTCCTAAGCCATTCTTCTAGTTTGACTCTATGACATTCTTAATCAACATATTTCAACCTAATACGTAAACCTAGTCTGTGTGATTAGGTTGTATTTCAAAGCATCATGGGAACTCTGAGAAAATTGAACTGGAAAAATGATTAATTCAGCCATGGTAAGTGCACAACATAAGCACAAACTATATGTAGAAGTTTAGAAAGCCTCCCCTTTATTCGCCATAGTTCCTTTTATGCATTAAGCGCCTTCACTACATTATTCCTTCCTCTTTTGTTTTACTCTCTTTGAGATTCCCGATTGGCTTCATTTCAAAGGAACGCATAGTTTCTTTCGCCTTGCAACAGTCACTTGTAAAGTTGATGCGCAGTGCAAACTTTGAAAGGGAAGATACGTATGTATTTTCCTTGTGGCGAGAATTAGCAACATCGTAGATGGACGGAACCAGTAGGGGAAAAAGGAAAGAACAGAAATCTAAAGTCATAATCCTACAATGACACCTGGTGGGCCTAATTTGTTTTTAAAAAAAAAAAAAAAAACCTGAAATATTCCCGTCCTTGGTCCCCTTCTCTGAATATATTTCAGTTGATTCAAAAGCCATTACCAGCTTTTTGAGTTTAGCTGCTATTGTGGTCCCAAAGGTGCTTTTTCAGGAGACAAGTGAACTTCCTTTTTTTTTCTCTCTGAGGACATTTTGCTTCTCATCCAGGAATCTGAAGAAGCCGCTTCTTGGATGAGAAGCGAAACATCTTCAAAGAAAAAAAAAAGTCCAGCTGCCTCGTGAAAAAGCACCTTTGGGACAACCATGACCTGGATGACAGAATCTTCAGAGAGAGCTGCCGTTGTCCAATTTACTTAAAAGTTTCAACAACGAGTTGAAAGTTACTTGACAACATGTGTGTGCTCTCAGACCAATGCAACATCTGTTCACATCTGTTATGCAATGCAGGATTCGTTACCGCACAATGTTCAATGGTAGTCAGTGATGTCTCAAAGCAGAGTAAACAAACTGCTACAACCCCTCAAAAATAAGTTCCTAGATGAGTAACACCCCCAACTGCTCTGTAAAGAAATGATGAAATGATAAAGAATATAAATGTAAATGTGAAGAAATGATAAAGAAAAGATGACGTCTTTCAGAGAAAGACTTCATCTCCCCTCCATTCAGGCCATCCAGTGTGCCACAAATGACTTAACAAAGGCATGTGTGGGTGGACTAAGGAGCCAAACTACTTGTAGGCTAGTAACTTTGCTTACCTCCTTTTGCAAGGGAAAGGAATTTTCAGTGAGGTAAAACAGCCCTTCTGACAAAGGGCCTCCCGAAGTCAATATGTCCTCTGCTTTGTGTTCAGCTCAGTTCTTTTGGAAAGGCTAATGCATTCCAGATGTGCTGCTATGAATTCACAAAGGTTAACGATCTGCAGGGCTTTTTGATTTCCGAGTGCTTGTGTGTGTGTGTATTAGCAACAGTATTTGTAAGCAATAATGCCTGTGACTAATTAAAATGTTTGTGGCTGGCAAGGACAAGGCAAATGAATACGGGGTGGACATTTCCATGGTGAATGGGACATGACTAACCCTTCCTCTTGCCAACAAAATTCTGGTCTGTCCAAAGGATGATTGCTGCAGTCATAGCAAAAGAACTCAGGATGTATCTGATAAGAAAAAGAAATGGAGCAGCTCACTCCCAAAGGCAAGAGAGAGAAATACCGTACATATCCTTATACAAGTATCCTTGACTTACAACCAGTGGTGGGATTCAGCCGGTTTGCACCACTTTGGCAGAACTGGTAGCTAATTTTTTGTTGCCCAGGCCCAGAGTGGACTTCTGGAAGCAGCATCCACCCAGAGAACTGGTTGTTCACGTATTTGAATCCCACCATTGCTTACATCCATTCGTGTGTTCACAGTTCGAAGTTACAAGGGCATTGAAAAAAAGTGATTTATGATTGTTTTTTTCACACTTACAACTATCGCGGCATCTCTGTGGTCATGTGATCAGAATTCAGATGCTTGGCGATTGGTTCATATTTATGCAAATGTGGATAAATAATATTTTTCATATTTTGGGAGGTTCTTGCTGCATCAGCTTGTCCAAATAAAGGCATTCAATACAGATAGTCCTTGACTTACAACCATTTGTTTGGTGACCATTCTACAGTAAGTTACAATGGCACTGAAAAGTGACTTCTGGCCATTTTTCAATTCCATTGCAGCATTCCCACAGTCACATGATCAAAATTCAGATGCTTCGCAATTGGTTCATATTTACGATGGCTGCAGTGTCCCGGGGTCATGGGATCACCTTTTGAGACCTCCTGACAAGCAAAGTCAACGGGGAAGCCAGATTCACTTAACAACTGTGTTACTAACAACAACTCCACTGACTGACTTAACAACTATGGCAAGAAAGGTTGTAAAATGGGGCAAAACTCACTTAAACTGACTTGCTTAGCAACAGAAATTTTAAGTTCAACTGTGGTCATAAATTTCTCCTAACCTTCTGATCATCTATGTGCAGTTTCTCCCACACTCAACAAATTCATTCAAAACAGGAGACACTAATCACCATCACATTTCCAGGAGGATTACTTTCACAGGATGAGAGTAAGCATCATCTACTTTTGCAGCATCCAGTTATGCTCTGAGGATGACTCTGAATGGACTGCAGAAACAAAAAGGGGTCCTTCACACCCATATTTGCTGGAAGAGACCTTGTCTGTTCGTTGGAACTTGATGGTATATGTCAATTTGCAGAAAGGGTGCTCCTGGTCACTTGGAAAACAAGACTTTTGTGTGATTGAGCATAGTTGAAAATGTGTTCCTCTCTGTGGTTGCCTGTGGTCCTCCCCAAAAGTGGTTTTTTTCTCCAGAGAAGTAAGAAAGCAAGCTGCCAGGCTACGCAACAGATCCCTCTCTTCTGCAGAAGATCTAAAGAGACATGATTTTTCCAGTATAGGTGCAAATCTCATTGTGGCATTTGGAAATCAGGTCTGGAGAGGACTAAGTAGGAGAAGGATGTAGTGGTAAGGGTAGGTTTGGGATAGGTTGGGAAGGGAAGGGAAGGGCCTGCATGAGAGAGAGGGCTTCCGTTCTATTGCAGCCTCCAGAATTTGTTCTGCCTGCTCTGCGTTGGCTGCTATTCCTCACAAACAAGATGTTCCAGTAAGAACTAAGACTTTGGGAGGTGTAGTTTTTTTGACTACACAACCATTTCTTTTTTTCTCCAGTTACATGTTCCAGAAGAAGCAACTTTTGAGGGAACTAGACTAGGGCCTGCATGGGCAGGCAATGACACATAATAGACATGACATGTGTCAGCAAAGTCAGGGGGTGCTTGTGTTCTTTCCCTGTGTTGGGGAGAATTATAGATAGTCCACAACTTATGACCACAACTGAGCCCAAAATTTCTGTTG